AGAAATGTGAAAAATGTTATTTATAATTTATTTAGTAATCATGAATATTCATGAAATTCGAATACTCAAGTTTAAATTTCTATAATATATATATATACTATATATATATATATATATATATATATATATATATATATATGTGTGTGTGTATATGTACAATATGTAAATATATATATAAAATCTTTTTAGGCAGTTTAATGTTATAACTTTTCAGTTAATTCATGTTGGAACTTTATTATTTGAAAACATATAAAAAGACCTCTAATATATTTTATACTTGTTCCCAATAAATAGACGTAATTTCCTGATTTTTGATGTGATTATATTGTAACTATGCAAAGATATTAAAAACTTTGTTATATTTAGCATATATGAAAATAAACATCGTTTAAGAACATATTCAACATTTTATTTTACTAAAATAGTGTATCAAGCAATTTGTATAATTTTATAATTTTTTATCTAAATTTTGTTCATTTCTATAAACTATTCACATATATACAAAATCTGAGACAATACTGCTATCATATGATCAACATGTAAATAATATCGTTTGTGATTGTTAATACCAAATGTATAAGAAATCATATGAGAAAAATATGAATAAAATGCAAATTATACAGTTACATATTTTTATAGTATAAACACCATATATAATTGTACTTTGTGATTTATAATTTTAATTGTTCCTGAAATTATGCATCAAATATATCTTCATCTGATTGAGTTTCAGTATCAGTATTAAGTATTATTTTTTTGGATTTTAATCTACTTGCGGGAGTCACTTTATTCCTAAGAGCGGTCGTAATAGGTCTTGACTTTGTTCCTTTTGATATAACCTAAAGATGTATTGAAAATACATTACTTAATTATTTATTCTCTAATTATATTTATTTAATTTTTATTAATTTAATAATTATATTTATCTAATTTTTAAATTGACAAAATATGTACACAAATCCATTAATTTTATTATATTTTAAATACATAAATTTTATTACCTCAGATTCAGACGTTGTTTCTGAATCATTTAAAGATTTCATCTTCCGTTTTGTTTTATTTGTGACCGGCCTTTTCTGTCGTATTTTATTTGAACGTTTTGCTAATGGCTAGAATATGGAACAAAAATAAGTATTTTAATAATAAAAATATAAATCTGAAAATTAAACTAAATCGAGATAATTATGTTCATAGATTATAGAATAATTATGTACGCATTCATTTTTTAAAGATTGCTGTAATTACCTCTGTATCAGAATCATTTTCGGATTCATCTTTAGAGTCTTCAGAGTCATTTTCGATTTGGATTTTTTTTCTATTGCGTAATGGAGATGCATTTTTCATTTTCTTATTTGCTTTATCGGTGGATCCCCTTTTTTTTGCTTTTTTAAGAATTTGAATATCATATTCACCGTCCGAATCCATATCATTTAATGCTTTTTCTATATCTTTTCTATTACAACGCTTTTTATCAATTATAACACCTATAGTACTTTTTCTTGAATTTTTTAGAGTGCTTGAAATATCTAACTGTTTTGTACGGGGACTTTTTCTCACTCCATTTATAGTTTTTTTTATTTGTGGAGTAGATTTAAGAGTACTCGATTGGGTTGACATAGCAATGCTGTTTAATCTTAATTTTCCATCAGGTTTATGGCCCAATTTTTTTAAACCAGTTATTAATGTTTCTTTCAACTTTTCATAAGGTGGTATTTCATTAAATTTTATGTTGACTAAAGTCATGAATTTATGTACAGCTTGCGGTACTGATCCATGAAAACATTTATTTAAAAAAGCATCTATATTATCAAAGGCTTTTTCTTTTTCCTTCTGAACTGTAGCTGGATCGAGTAACTTTTCCCACGGTAGTGAACCACATAACCACAAAATTATATTATAACTTAATATTTCAATATCGCCACGACGTGTTGGTACTAAAAAAAAAAAAATCGAAGAATTTATTTAAAATTATTCTAATACTCAAAAGATAAATTTCATTAAATATCCAAGTTATTATTTTTCATTAAATTCCTTATTTACCTCCCATATGAGCATCTCTACTTGTATACTGTAAAGTACCATTATGTGTCTTTTTTGGGTCGACTTTTAATTCAGTACTCGATGTACAGCGAGAAGCTAAACCAAAGTCGACTAAATAAACTTGATCGTAGGAGTTTAAATCCAGTAACAAATTTTCACCTTTGATATCAGCATGTACATAGTTTTTGTGATGAATATACTCTAATATATCTAGCTAGAAATTTTTTTAGAATATAAATTATTAGGACAAATTTATTACAAATATTTTGCTATAATGCTACCTTACTATTTGTAAAGCTAATTTATATACAACATGTTCTGGAAACTGTCTATTATTTTCTTCAAATATTTTCCATAAATCCTTTCCATATCGATCTATCACCAAAAATCGATATTTTGTATTTTTATATTCATGACTTCCAGAAGCAACATATCTAGGCATTCCCAGTGCAGCAAGTTTCTTTTTTTTCTGCCAGTTATCAACTAAAAAGATACTGTGCTAGATACTATGTCCACTGCTCAAATATTACATTATATAATCAGATAACATTAATTATTGCACAGACTATAATTTTAGAGAGATTAATCATAAAAGAAAATATTATAAAAATAAAACTTTTAAATATTTACTTTCATCTGGTTTACAGTTTCTCATATAAAAATGCATTTCTACAAATAATGGACCATTGACATGTGGTTCCTAAAACAGATTTTAAAGAATACGAAGTTAGAACAAAAATTAGAAAAAAAGAATAACAGTAACGATATATAATACTTACTATTTTTATGACATTGGGGTAATCTTTGGGAACTTTTCCAGAATATCGTGCCGCTGTAATTAATCAATGCTCAATTAATTATGCAATAATCAAGATACAATAATCGAAATATTCATAAATATATTTCAAAAATATAATGTGGGCCATAAAAGACACGAGATAATATGTAAGACAATCATATAAGACAAAATCAAATAATTTATCTATAATGCACCTTCATATACAATCATTCTTATTACATGTTCGATATATGAATTATTTTATTATTTTATAATTTTTTAATAATTAAAAAACTCATGGTTTCTGTTCATTCTTTGCACAACTCGTCTGTTTTTCTTTTTGAATACTTTAAATGTTTATAATAACATAGACATGATCACAACGTAACATATAACAGTAATAAAATTTTTACCAGAATAAACCTCTCCAAAACCGCCGATGCCGATCGACTTGCCAAGGATCCATTGATTCTTAGATAAATCCATGAGAATCTCTCCGGCCGGTAATGGATCGGGCATCTGATAACCTCCCTTCTTTCTTGGTGCTTTCTTCACTGCTTTCGCTCCTTTCGCTGCCATTATCTCGTCGAACACAAATCTCCGAAAAACAAATTGCGAACTCAACGTTTCATGTAATAAGACTTATTAGTGATCGTAGATGACAAGTGCGCCAATTTTTTACTCAGAACGTGTATATCACCGTTACGAGTGTGATTGATATATCAGATTATGAGCGTGTGACGACAGGAACTTGTCTGAACTTCGTTACGAAGTTTAAATACCGCGTTCGATGCAGTCAACCGATGAACATTAAAAGTTACTATACTCGATAATTTTCTCCTGTTTATTTAATCTCCCCAGAAAGAAACGTTTCCGATACGATACATCTATCATCTCTTTCCTCATCTAAAGGCGTATCCAGTAATATAAGATTTATGATCTCCCCTATTAAAAAAAAAAAACTAGATTTTCAATATCGATACAGATAACGTTATTTTTGAGATGTCAAGTCTTTTTAGAATAATCTTTGCTCTGTCGAATGTAAAGAGATCATGTTGGCGACCATGACGGATCGCTGCTCTAAAGTTGGCCGACATCGCGTGGCAGTGCGCGCGTACGAAACTGTGTTGATCTGGAAGATGACAGCTCGCTCTCGAGATCGGTTTCCTGCGTGAAATAACGCGAAAGAGAATCATGATTACGATAGAGCGACTCGCGGTACGGAAACGATTTTTATCGAGGCGATACACGAGCGAATAGCTCCGGCGAAAACGTAGGGGTTCATGCGCCCGGGTCATTTAGGTTAAGTTGTCTCCATCATCGCGGTTTTCTCTCTTCTCTCGCTTTGAATTTCTCTCTTTTTCTTTTCCCCCCCCGTAAATGGAAGAATCCGTACCCGATTCGCCGGGATCACAATCAGAGGAAAGTATCTATTTGAATGAGGCAAACGTCGAGACTGTCTGCAGGAACGACAATGAGACGGAACGTCACAATGGAGATTGCACGCCGCAACAAGAGAAATACATCAACAATTCCATTTTTAATACCATTTCCAAGATTGTTAATCCTACCACAAAGGTAAGTTCTTTTATTATCTTTAAAAATTATGAATTTTCTTAGAATTGTCAATTGGGAGTACTAAATAGAATCTATTCACTGTTGAAAAACTATTATATTTCTGAAAACTATTCTTGAAAACTATTATATTATAAATATTATATTTCTGATATTTATTTCTGATCTTTTTATTATATATTTTGTGATCAAAATATGTAACTTTTAAAACTGGACAAATGGTGCTTTGAACAATCAGTGCTTTGGATAAAAATTATCTTGAATATTTCTTTTAATAAGAAAGTCTAATTTTTAATGTCAGTCTTATTAGTTTCTATGAAAGACTCTCTTTGTTGCGTTGTCAATATATTCAAGATATTATTAGACTGATAATTTTACATATTTTTGAGTGTTAATATATATATTATTTTAGTTGCAAGATACAATATAAAATTATTAATTATTATTATCTTTTTAGCTTATTTTCTATTTAGCTATTATTAATTTATCTCTTATCTAGTTATTATTATGTTATTATTATATGTTAATATGTTTTTAATAATTATAAGAGGAATTTTCTTCATATGTTTTTAATAACTATAAGAGAAATTTGTACTTAATTATGACCATGCGTACGTTTAATACTAATGCATACGTTTAAATATGATAATCGCGAAATTATAATATAGACATGATATATGGCAATAATAATACAGAAAACAGTATTTAATATATCATTCGACAAAAATTTTATTGCCCTGTTAATAAGAGTTTGTCTGAATTCTAGTTTTACTGGACACTTGTTTATTGTTAAATCATCATAGTTAAATTTCAAATTAAAATTCAGAAAAATTTTAGTACATTTTACTCCTCCAATTTTTATTTTTTAATTCAAATTATATCTTATAAAAAACGCACATAAAGAAATAAAATAAATATTAGCTTGCATAGTCCATTGAATATATTTCTGCGATATTGATAATATGTAATGTTTTAAAACAAAATAATTTATATTGTGTTATTATGTATATCAATCTATTAGTCTTATTCATGCAATTTATTTTATATTATAATATAATTTAGCTAATTTTATAATTTTTTTTATAAAAAAGACATGCTTTAAGTAATATATTTAATATTATTAAATCTCTTTGCTAGGTGCCAGATATACAAGATTTTAAGATAGTAAAACCGATAAGTAGAGGAGCGTTTGGTAAAGTATTTTTAGGATATAAAAAAGCCAATCCCGAACAAATATACGCGATTAAAGTGATGAAGAAAAATGAGATGATAAATAAGAATATGGCTTCACAAGTGGTAATTGAGCGGAATGCATTAGCTCTGACTCGTAGTCCGTATTGCGTGCAACTCTTTTATTCGCTGCAGTCCATCAGCAGCGTTTATCTAGTCATGGAGTATATGGTGGGCGGTGATCTCAAGAGTCTGCTCGGCATTTACGGCTTCATGGAGGAGTCCATGGCGGCATTTTATACGGCGGAAGTTTGTCTGGCGCTTGAGTATCTTCACTCACACGGTATCGTGCACAGGGATCTTAAACCTGACAATATGCTTCTCTCGCGCGAAGGACATGTTAAACTCACAGACTTCGGACTTAGTAAGATATCATCCTTGCACAGGGATCTCGAAATATCGGACCTAGTAAATTCTATGACTCCCAGCCTATGCGCCAGGACACCTGGTCAACTGCTCTCGCTAACGTCTCACCTATCCTTCGGTTCTGGCCAAAAGTCTATCTGTGAATCGAATCTCAGTAACAGAAGCACACCAGCCATGAACTTACTTTTCGCGCTACAAAAGAATTGCAATCCTAAATCCGGAGAACATATGTCGCCGAACTCGGTTATATCATCCGCTGCATCTGGAGATTATTCTCGGATATCCGGCGTCACGCCTTTCCAATCAGCGGAAGATTTACATTTTGAGCAAAGTAATGAGGAACAAAGTATAGAAGAGGGCGAAGACACCATTGAAAAGCACGAGAATGGTATCGACAGTTCTAACAGCTATCATACTTGCGAAGCGTCGTCTAGCACGCAAATGAGTAACCGTACGGATCAGAATGTAGAGGAAGAGGAAGAAGAGAGGGATGAATCTACGCTCGAGGCTGAGCATTCGCAACAGCGCTCTCTCGAACATACCAGTCCTGTGAGTACTTGCACGAATTCATTCATGATTCGGGGATCAAAGAAGAGAAAGCGAGCTGGCGCGGGTACAACGGGCTTAACATGCGAGATCGACGCGATAGATTTGGAAGGTGATAAGACACCTAAGAGAAACAACCGAGACTCTGTATTTCCCTATGCAAGTCCGACGAACAACATGATTTTGGTGTCCACAAAAGCAGCGAACATTACGATTAATTTGGCAGAGAATGACGGAAGTAGAACACCGAATCAGGATACCGAACAGAATACTGGATCTACAGGTAGAGTAGCCTTCAGCACTCCGGTGTCTTCTGCTAGACAAAGAGATCGTAAGGAGAAACAGGAAGAGCATCAAGAAGAGGACGATACGAGAACTTTGATCAAGACGAGATTTCGTCTACCACCGTCGTCCGTTTCGCATTCCGCTCACGATCCGCACGTGGACTCGGACAGTACGTCCGAGGGTCATCGCTCGCCTCAAGGTATCTCGCCTATCAAGACACCCGCGACGTCAGGCAATTGTTACACGCCGTATAGAACGCCCAAGTCCGTCAGAAGAGGCGGTCAGGGTGGCGTCAACAGATCGGACGATCGTATTCTCGGCACGCCCGATTACCTCGCCCCGGAGTTGTTGCTCAAGCAGGGTCACGGACCGGCCGTCGATTGGTGGGCATTGGGCGTTTGTCTGTACGAGTTCTGTACGGGTCTTCCACCGTTTAACGACGAAACGCCACAGGCAGTGTTTGCAAATATTCTCGCGCGTGACGTGCCATGGCCCGAGGACGAGGAGGCTTTATCATTGGCAGCGACCAATGCCATCGATGCGCTGCTCACTTTGGATCAAGCTTCTCGTCCCACAGCGAGGGAGGTGCGCAACATGACTCTTTTCTGTGAATTTCCCTGGGATGAGCCGTTGAGAGCGGTGCCCCCGTTTATCCCGCAGCCGGACGATAACTACGATACGTTCTATTTTCAGAGTACGTTTATTCCGGTTATCATATCATATTGTCGTTTCAGAAACAATACCGTGTAATATGAGGATTAAGACATTCTCTATCTTAATCACAACTCGATTTCGAGTGTGATCTCATTTCGTGACCCCATTTATTAAGACATTAAGTATTATAAAACATAAATTTTTATCAAAATGCAAATTGAAAATATCTAAGTAGGTTATTAATATATAGTTGTCAAAATATAAAGAACACATTGTCATTTAGTATGAACGAGATAAGATTTCGAATAGTTCCGAATAGAAAGAGTTTTATAGTTTCCTATTGAAAAGATAAAAATATTTTAAAATTAATTTTTAATACTACTCTTACGCGGTATTATTTTTAAACGACGTTAATAATGGCCCGTTGATAATGGCTACTATAACAGAAGAATTTTTTTTTTTCCAGCACGAAATACTATGCAGCAATTGAATGTAAGTAATTGCGATACATAGCCTTCGACATACCGCATGCAGACGTGGCAGAAACAAAAGCCTATAATGTCGAAATCGTTACTATGTATAACTTTATTTTTTATATACTTGTGTATATGTATAGCAATATAAAATATAAAATATTTTGTTACTACTTGTAATCATCAAGTCTGCTCACTTCTATAGTAGATGGATGATGATGGTTTTATTTAATGATGAGGAAATCATTACACAGAGTGCGATGATATGGAACTTAAGAACTTAAATCGCATTATATAATTAAGAAAAGACTGATATGTCAAATTTTCTTAAAAGAGACGATATTATCGCTTTCGACTATGAAAGCGGGTATTTTTAATAGCTATGTTCTCTAGCTATGAAGCTCTAGGTACGTTAGGGTTTGACGGTTTTTATCACATTTTTCGAAGCGAGTGCGATCGATTTCGCGTCTCTTCGACAATCCATTTCGTCAAAGAAACAGCGATGGTGCGAAAAGAGCATGGCAGTAAGTATGTGCAAAGAGCATATCTCCTACTTTAAATTTTTATAAATCCACGGCAAAAAGTGTGTCACTCGCGTATACACTCCTGGATATTGTCCTTTCCCGCATCCTATACCCCATGATACGATACCGACTTGCGTCCAGCGACCATCATTCACCATTAAAGGACCTCCACTGTCACCCTGTAAATGCAATATAATTTTTTTTATAAGTATTTTTCTAATAAAGTTTGATTTTATAAGTATCCATATGAGATAATTTATAGTTTTTCTTACAAGCTTAACAAATTTTATCCAATTAAAAGTTAATTTTACAAACCGAGCATGAATCCTTAGCAGCTCGACCAGCACACAGGAAGCTATCGACTATACCACCCGGTGCCGCTGAACCATATTTCAATTTACACTCGTTGTTTGACCATACTGGCACTGAAACTTCTTGTAAAATCGCTGGTTGCGGTCCACCTAGTTGAACATGACAAATTATTGCAAGATATATTGCGCGTGAGTACGTTTTTCAAAAGAAACAATTTATCTCATGAATAACCACTTGCTATGACTATGCAAATTGATTCCTAAAATATATAAACGAGAATATTTAAAAGGTATGAATGTTAATTATATATTTCTTCGACTACATTCAAACAGTTCAAAAAGTTCTTTTCTTGATGTGACTACTTGTTGAACGATTCACAAATTAAAAACACATTTAGCGTAAAATTATTCTTACTTTCTCTCAAAGAACCCCATCCAATGACAGTCGCCGTCTTGCCGGAATACAATTGTGATCCGCTAGGAAGACAGATAGGTCGTATTTGTTCTGTAAATTCCACAGCTTCGCTTAACGTAAGAAGTGCCACGTCGTTGTAAAGCGTACGAGAATTAAAGCCTCGATGCCTCACGACTCTCTTCACCCGTCTCTCGATGTGACGAATCTCGGTATTCGTTTTGATATTGTAATCACCGAGACGTACCGTCAACCTCGCGACGTCCCAAGAATTCATACTGGAATAATGCAATATTTTTTTGTTAAAAAAGATTTCTAAATTATAATTTAATTACAAGGAATATTTTGATATGTTTCAGTTATAATAAGGAAATAATTTTAAATATTGCATAATTTCAATTAACAAATTCCACCGTTACTTTAATTTGCGAAATAAATAATAAATAAATTGGTCTCACTTTGCAACGCAATGCGCCGCTGTCAGTACGTGCTTGTCGTTGATCAGCGATCCACCGCAGAATTGTCGTCCAGCATTGAAAAGTGCGCAGATCCATGGCCATTCGCCTGGATCTGCGTTATGTCCTCCTACGATACGCTCTTGATCTTGATTGCCATTCTTGGCACCGCATTGTGAGGTACTGCTGATAGGAGACTTGTCAGTTGTTGACGTAGATGTCGATGGGGTGACCCACCAGGTTGGTTTCTTCGTCGGCCAGGTAGTGGCGACGTTCGGTTTTTTCGAGCTTGTGCTAGTGCTAAGTGTGGTTGGGTCTGATGTAGTGGAAAGTGTCGGCAGACCTGGCGAAGGTGGATGAGTCGGAAGTGGCGGTATCGTGTGATCGGGCGGATGTGTGGGAATCGGCGGTGGCCAAGTAGGCGCAGCCTGAGGACGTGATACGTCCTCTTCGATCTTCTTTTTATTATCCTCCACCTAAAACAATTCGATTAATTTCATTTAATTAACGAATTAAATGCGGAAATAAAGATTCTCAGGGACAGACGGAGATAAAAGGAGTGACTACGGCATTGCGCGCGACAGAAGGAAAGGAATGCGCGAATGCCAAGCAATAAAGCGCGGGCCGTAAAATGATCTTTTGTGAAACCGTATTACCGAATCGACGCGGCAGGGATATAACTTTCCAGGAGGCTGGATTTAATAGGCTTTAATTCGAATCACGTATAATTTTTACGACTTCCCAGTAGCGAAAGTGATTACTACGAGTAGAACGGGAACGCGTGTGCTAATATTAGGTCATGGAGTTGTAACGTTTAATTGGAGAATACGTGAGATGGCTTACTAGCGGATGTTCCACCGTAGGATTGTCGCAGTTGTCGGGACCGGGTGTGACGAAAGGATTCAAATTTGAGCAACATATCCCGAAACTTGGACTACCATCCTCGCGAATATAACTGCATGTATCGTAAACACCAAGAACCCAACCATCCAGGGCACCGAGGTCTGGAATTTTAAAGTACGGATAGCACTCCTTGAAGGTCGTGCAACGACCGACTTCGCCTTTCGAAGTTAAACAGGTCTCGCGAGTCGTGGCTCCATTCCAAAGAATTCCCCGGCCATCTCTCGATCCAAATTGATCTGGATCAATCGCGGCTGCAAATTGAATTTTCACATAATTTATATTTTTATAAAGTAGAAGATAAAAAATTTTTGTTGGAGAACATTTCATATATGATAATTTGTTATTTCAGTATATAGCTTCAGTTTTTTTTTCTTTCAATTATTTGGACATATTTTGTCCATATTTTATATATTTATATATTTTGGACATATAACATTGTTAATCATTTATGATGACTGATTTTTTTCTATCACACTAGCTATACATTATTTTAATTAAATTTTTAACAAGATTTATTCAAATTTGTTTCCTCTATCTTTATCCGTTAAAGTGTCTACATTATCGTATTCACCATCGCAAAATCAGAATGCATCGAGCATGTTTATCTCAACACGTACTCGAGAATATTTGTGCTTTAGCATGTAGATGCATTAATGTCCGGATACATTAATATACGTGACGTGTGTGTTTTTCTGATGTCAAACAGAATTAGAAGAAGTTGCAATAAAATTGAAGTCGTTTTGTAATTTTTAATCGAAGTTCGCGAAAACTTAGAACATATATTTATATTAAAAATAAATAATTCTTTTAATTGTACATATTTTGCTCATAAATTAATTAACAATAAAATTAAAAATTATAAAATAAAAAATAGCTAAGGAAATTTTATTTTTTTATATAATTTTGTGAAAAAGTTGTTTAAGATTAAGAAAAATATATAAAAGCGAATAATTTATCTTTAAAGCGACTTAATGTAGTTGTCTGTGTTAAATCGTTTTATGCAATGAATGATCGGAACGTCATAATAAAATTCCATCGAGATACTTAGCAGTGAGTTCGCTGACCTATGCGAGACACACAGGTGCACATATATTGAAGGTGAGGTTTGTGCGTGCGGGGAGAACTTCCGGTTGCCGTGTATGGGACGCGCGAATAATTATTCGCCAATCGGTGCCCAATATATATTTTGCATGTATTTAAAGATTTCACAATCATCGATAAAGAAAACAAAAAGCATGATAGAATTTGAATAAAAAAACCATATAGAAACAGTGTTTTTTTTCTTATTAATGATTATCATAATTATAATTGATAATATAAGACTTACAGAGGAAAAGAACAAGTTTGTTCAATCTAGCCTAAAATATACATTAAGATAGACATTGATATTTTAACAAACATGATATCCAGAAATTTTTTTCCGCTAAGTTGTTTTAATTTTAATTTTTGAAAAAAACCAAGAGAATTAAAAATTAAAAGAATTAAAAATTTTTTTTTAAATATATTTTTCGCTACATATCATTAAAATAAATTATAAATAGAATTCTTATTAACGCAAAATAAAACTCGAAAATAATAGTATTCTATGTCTCTTCTTTATTGTTGATCAATGGTAGTTAAAGTCTTCGTACTAGTATTTGAAATTAATTTTCATCTAGTTTTGCATGTACATCTTTTATACGAAATTCAAATTTGCAGGATTTTCAATATATCTCTCAGCTAAAGTTATTGAAACGCATCACAGGATATCTCCAACAAATGTAGATAAACATGTGTCATGAGAGCAGAAATTTAATCGGCATCTGGATGAAAAGCGCATACAAAACATATTTGACAATTGATACTGACCTTCGACGACGACGGCGTTATCATCCTCCTCCGAGTGAACATTATCAAAATTCAATGATCTGGATAAGGGCCCGATAGCCGTCGCGGATACGATCGTCGCAATTACCTGTATCACGAGCACCAGCACCAGCATCGCGAACAGTGATGGTCTGTGTGACCAATTATTCATACCCCGAACTATTAGAAGTATGTAGTATTGCGTGTAAAGAACTCAATTATATACCACAAGAAGAAACAACGAACGACGCGCGGAGGGGTAATAAGATTTAGAAGCCCGAGTAGACAAGATTTATGTGAAGTACAAGATTTATGTGCGCGAATCAACGACGGAGACCTTGTCGACTTCTAGGCCGCCTAAGCTGCTGAATAGCCGCTGCTCGAGCTTATAACGGGCTCGCCCTCCTCCTCGATACAACGCACGAGGTGTTCTCGCGCACCTTTCTTCTCTTGCTCTTTTATCAACACCTCGATGGCCGCAGGGTAGAGGATAGGGCGCAGAAAGCAGGCAGGATAGAGATCAAATATGGTCTCCCTATGGTGATGCACGCAAAATAATTATTTCAATCCGATGCTCGCAAAGTGGACTGATTTTATCATAGCTGATTAATTTAGAACAACCTGAAATTAAATCCTTTTTTTTAATTTTTAAATTGTGTAATAAGAAAGCCAGAAAGTAGGTAGAGATTATTTTAAATTCAAATTCAAATACGAAGCGTGAATTTTATTATATTTTATTATTCAGATTTTTCAGATTTGTCTTCTTTGGAACTAAAATATTGCAAATGCATTTATTATACAGCATTTATTTATTTATTTATTATATGTATTATAAAAAAGCTTTTTTCACAGTCTTTCACAGTAATACTCATTTCGCAATTGTAATTCTAATTTCCGCGTGATTACTCGAGGGAAGGTTGTTCTGAAAAAATTCGCTGGAGTGTATATACAACGCGGGAACGGGGATAGCGTCTGGCCGTGAATGGGACTTAAGTTATCTCGATTATGTAAGCTGTATGATGGAACCGGATCACGCTCGATCGGTCTTCTATCGTGCGATTCGTGTTCAACACGCCGCGCAATGGCATTTGCATAGAGAGCACGATCCTTCGTGCCTTGGCCTTGAAGATGCCAAGAGAAGGCTGCACGTAAGGGACGGCCGTGAACTTGCTTATCGCGTGATCCCAGCCTCGTAGTCTATCTCGATGCTACGTATTTATGCATTTCCTTCCGCCGACGGTGAATATAGAACCCCCTTTCCCTCATACATGCTGTGATCTTGCCTCTCTTCTTCAACCTTCAACTTTTGCCTGCTGCGCACTTGACTTGTATTCATTCATTCAACAACATTGTGCAATAATATACTCTGACATATAATAAAATGATAAAGAAGTGACAAAAAGTATATTTATTGGATTTAATTATCTGATGAAATAACGGAGGATGATTTTACGATGTCTTTTACGATTCTCGAAAACGAATGAATCGCACAAAAAGTGCTTTATTTTTTTGCACATCGTAGGGAAGTTTCTGTTTCGCTAGAAACAGTCCATTGGGACGAGATCTTCGATCTTTCGCGGAGGATGTATAAACAGTACCTTCTGCGGGAGAGCGAAGAACGCGGAGGACCTTGAAGTGTACGTCAGGATCGCGATACCTAGGTCGACGAACCGCGTCCTAAAGGGTGGAGAGAGGAAGAGTTTAGTTCGTGCGTTCTTTGAACGGTTAATAACCACTTACTGTCGACATCTCGAAGAGATAAAACCTTTTTTTGTCGCTCGCAAAACAGGGCTCAGTAATCGATAAAGACAGCGGGTTAGTGTCTAACTCGCCAAACCGGACTCTGCCGAAAATACACGCGTATTATCATAAAGTCCAGCAATGAGAAGCGATTGTGGGTGGCACGGGGAGACACGGTTTCTTAACTAACTTCATTTTGTATATCTGCCACACATTTGGCGCGTACATCATCTATCAAATTTATATTTCTTATCGATTCATAAAATCCTCAAGAGAGATTGACAAGAAAGTTCAATATTCTCAGTTCAAGTCGTTGACCCTATTATTACGAGAATATTCAGCGGTGTGCGATGTATCAGATGTTTAACGCGCGTATGTAAAATCGGGTTCAAGATTTCCTAGTGACGCCGTTGTAATATTACTGGACCTTGCTGGTCGAAATCCTTCCTCCAAAACATGCAAACCGGTTGGGCCGGGGTTGCTCGTAATTAACCAAGAAATATCGAAGTCGTTTGTTGCTGTTCTAACTACGTCATTTGAGAGAAAGAGTCTATGAAAAAAAACAAGAATTGTCGTCCGATAGGTAAAAGGATTAAAAAGCGTACAGTTCTAAATGAAGTTCTCTTGAATTTTGATGAAATTATTTTACTTTTACTTATTTAGGAATATATTTGAAATGAGTTACATACTAATTATCTTTTATTAGTACAACATATATAAACACATGGAATACTTTGTACCGGTCATGGATAATAATATTACAAGCAGAAATTTATTTCCTTTTATATATTCCTGTTAGCACCCATGACGCGATGTAACGGAGTAGACAATAAAACGGCTTCACTTTCATAATGCTATAAAAGTTATACGTATGAATGCTTGTGAATATACGTTGTTAGATCCTGTTACTGAAATTACAATTGATTTCTTATTAACTATTGATGTAATTAAATTGATTTCAATTGAACTTGAAATTACACATATATCTTTGTTAGAAAAATTATATATATTGAAAACAATAACAATTTGTAGAGCCGATGTAAACGAAAAAATTTATATAAATTTAAAGTATATATTATTTCTACAGCACATTAATTTATATTTATAAGTAGTTTCGGAGATCCCAATCTTTTTATTGAATTTATTAAAATTGATTCATGTTTTAGTGCGTGTTTATTTGTTGATATTTGCATTGATATGCAAACAAAACTTGTTAATTTAAGAAGCAGACCTACCTATATATCAAGAAATTGTGAAATGTCATTCGCTGATGAGCAACTTTATTGATCATTTTGTGAAATATTTTACTGAAATACTGTCTTGAGACGTGGAATCTGCGAGGAACTAATTCCTCGAGAAATTTAAATTTCGTGTTTTTGAAAGACTTCTTATAAAAGAAGTTTTTCGACGTAGAGACGCGCTCTTCAAAACCGTGCTAGAAATCCATTGCGTATTCATAGATCAGTTTCGCAAAATATGCTTCACGCAGCCGATCGATATGTGTTTCCATCGCGTGGACAAAAGAGATAAAACACAAATACTACGCCTAAGAACTATAATTCACGTCAGGGCCAGTGACCCTACAAGGTCTTGGATTCTCGCACGGATTGCCATGATGCTTGCATACACACCAGCTGACTTCTAGCTGACGATGATAGTCGCCTGACTAAGTCGCGCCGTAACCACTTACACTCTCCGTCTCCCTATTCCTTCTTGTGTCCGAAGAAATACGCGAGCTGCATCCCGTAATCAAGGCGCCAATTAATTCCTCTTTGCAGTTTTTATTTGCAAACTGATCGAGTTCCCATATCTCATAGAGAAACGCGAGGTTTTCACTCTAACGAGTACTTTCGAGAAATAAATGATTAACTTCACAAAATATAGATAAATTTAAAAAAATTTAATTTTTTGGAAAATTGTTAATTTTTCTAAATTATATATAATTATATATTATTATTTAAATTATCTATATCATATTTTTAATTATCAATTTTTCTGTGTTTGTATTTTTAGAAGAGTTACTTTTCATAAAACTCGTATAGGAAATAATTTTTCTGAGAAACTTTCTTGACCAAATGAGAAAATTTATTATAGATTTGTATTAAAATTTATCTGTTAATTTCATTATTGAGAAATCATCTACTTTTTGGCGAATTTGCAAATTGTATTTGTGAACTGAAATTAATCAACTTCCTTCTTATCGATGATCGTCGTAATTATATCGGATTCATGATTGATCGGGATTAAATGTAATCCTTCTGTCATCGGAGTTGAATACACATCATTCAGATCGCGTTCCGTTAGTCGATTTAGCACGGGATAACGTCACACGCTTGTTTTGTGCTAATCGTATTGGATCTGTCATGTCAGGCTTTTTCGGATAAGCGATTCCATCGAAGTGTCGGCTGGGGGACAGCTCATTAAAGAACGTCAGCCGTGAAATGCGAACCCTTCTGAAAACGATCCGATGTTCTCCGTCGCTGATTTTATGGTGCACTCCCTTCGTTCTTTCTCTAAGACGTGGAATCTTCTTTATCTCTCCTTATGGGTTTCCACGCTCGGGATTCCCTTTTTTTCCTTCTGAATTCCTCGCCAACAGGTTTCCTTCAGGCGTTGCTTCGCGATCTCCTCAGCGCTGTGTGAAACGAGACAAAGCGAGAATTCGCGACTTTTATAGGCGAATAACGAAAGCAATGATAGATTCGAATATCATAATTGTTATGCTCTGTATATATTTTATAATTTTTCTGATTTGTTAAAAATTATAGTTCTATCGTTGGCGATTTTAATAGTCTTTAGTCTTTTGTTGATGGGCGGACAAAATTGTTTAAGATTCTTTTTAAGCTTTGATAAGCATCTACTGTATTATGCTAATGTGATCGCGATTTTTTTATCTTGCGTATGTATCACGGACCTCTGTATAATGAAATGAGGCATTGAATCATGCTTATGCTAATGGGGACTCTGGAGAACGAATTGCTATCGTATGTCATCGAATCAGTGACTACAAAGATGATTGATATTCTGATGTGAAAAACATATATGTAAAAATACGTGCGCAAAATAATATGATTACACAATACGCTTTAAAATGCGAAAACAAAAATACCGTCACTCTGTCATTTAACATATAAATAATAAATGATAACAGATAAATGATTTTTACATTATTATAATTTTTTTCGTTTCGGAGAATGTCACATGTCCATTGTTTCTATTTCTTGTATTTTTATAATTATCTTCCGTTTATTGTTCTCAATTATTTCATTCAATATGCCTAATAAATTTTTTCATATATATTATTATATTTATCAATTAATTTTTATAAATTTTCCTCTTTATTAATAATTTTCCTCTTTGTTAATAAGTTTCCTCTTTGTTTTCCTCTCGATATTTCAATTTCTTCAATAGGATTTTTTTAGATTTGTCGCTTAATGTTAATAACATAAAAAATAATAATCGTTCTTAATGCAGCGATGAAGATAATGATAGTTTATATTTAACAGTGAAGGAGATACGATTTATAAAACGTACTAATATAATATTTATTGTTGCAATAAACATCATAATAATAATATAATATCACCTCTGGCACAATCTCACGATGGCAAGACAACGCGACGGTAATAAAACAATCGTACTCTCGGCGTTCTTCAATAGCTCTCGCTTCCGACTTCATCAGGGCACTCTCGATCCGGTCTAGCAACCGGACTTTTTTTTTTAATACATTCCTCTATTTCTAACAATAAATCTAAGATCCGCGGGCTTGTTCCACGTCGCCATTTACGTCGTTTAAGTACGATATTGAGACGGTTTAAGAAACCATCGCGAGAGAACGCGATCGCATTCACACACGCAACTCTGCAAGCTTCGGAAAAGTCAAGAAGATGACAGACAGACAATTCGCAATTTTCGTTTGCCACTGGCGACATTTGGCATCGACGCTCGACGTTCCCTCGTGATGACGCCAATCCGTCCGGCTTTTTTTTATAACGTAGATATAATATCAATAATCGTAAGGATAATAAAAAGATGATACTATTATAATAAAATGGCTTGATGAGAAAGGTACAACCGTTTGTCCACGTAAAACCTATTTTCTACCTCATTTACGAGATGCAACGGCTGTAGTTAAGGGGCACGGGGGAGATGAAAAGGGGATGTTATGATTACGCGAGAAAATGTCATGGACTAAAGCTAACCAACGGTCTTGGTCTCGTAGATCTATCTTGTAGAGATTGATTTCATATAAATTCTATCTATTTTTTCTCTCTTACGTCCTCTGGCGTTTCCATACACAGACACTCTGAATTATTCCATTCATGCACGCTCTTTCTCTCGGTTGCTTTTTCGTTTTTCGCTTTCTTTCTCTCTCTGCATTATTTGCATTCTCACTCATGAGTACAGACACTCTCATTCTCGTGTATAAAAATAATAATAATAAGATTTTATATAATAATATATAATAATACAATATAATTATATAATAATATATATGCGGCTTACGCGTAATTTAATAGAATCCATAATATTAATAATATCTATATGCTATCTGCAATAAATGTAACAAAATATAGTACTCAATAATAATAAAGGCATTTTACAAGCGTATTTTGATCGTTGCTTTGATATCGGTGCGTATCGATGTATATATGATTAACATCGAACGAAAAAAGAGTCGTGACCATGATTGTTTCTGCTCTAATCTAACGGTTCTAATAATTGGCAACAGATACGTGTATATGTGTCTTATTTAAACATGTATATGTATATGTATGAATCAGGGTGTGTCTTTCTGCGTATGAACATACGCGCGCAATCGTGTGCCTCGAAAGCGTGACGTAAGCTGGCAAGTGGCTTGTTTTAATCAGTGGCACATTAATGTTACCTCAAATTTTACTTTACGAGCTATATAACCACGGATTATTAGTACCGGTATCGATTGTCTTTCATTGTGAACTCATCATAGTTCGAGTGAATCATAATCGGTGTGAGTTTTATTGCGCATAGATTTCGAATCAGTATCTTGAAAGTAGAGGAACTGATATGTAAAGATATAACAATATAACATAAAATATGAGAATTTTTATATGTGAAAAAGTAGAAAAAAAAATAAAATATCATAATAGGACAATGTATCAAAATTTAATGAGAACTTTTGAAAAAATATTTTTGCTATAGAGAGGTAATTTTACTTATAATTCTATAAAAGAAGTAGGAAAACAAATACAAGTAGGACTCTTTCTTCTTTCTCTAATGGAACAATTGCTCTTCCAAGATATTGAATCGTTATCTTAATCCTGCAATGTCTGGGCTGAGTTCTTACGTATGTACGTATGCGTAAAGAGATTATATTATGGATACAAATATAGCGTGATTATATTACTCTTATTAGTCTTAAGACTTAGAAAAAATCGTGGCTTCTCGATGCTATTTCGAGTGTAACGTGGCAGAGAGTACGATACAGGGAAGCGATTCAGCTTCACGGATTTTTTTCCTGAAATCTTTTTTTCACACAAGTGACAAGATTTCCATTACAAACCGAGATTTATTCGCGCGCGATAATCAATTTGCAGCTGACAACGGCGTTACGAAATCGCGCGACGTCTTCATGTGCGTCAGCGCTTGTAATGAAGTTATAAAAGTCTTGTTAATGACAATCAAATGGCAAGAAAATATCGATTAACTTTTCACGAGTCATTGAGATTTGAATATCTTTTTTTTTATTTTTACGTTGTTCCGCAAATTTTCATGTGAAATTGTGGTATTTTAAAATAGATGAAAATATTACTAATACGGATACGAAAATAGAGAGATAATAATACAGCGATTGCTTTTGTCATTGACTAAAACATTCAAACGTCATGTATAGGATGAATTTGTAGGCTTTCAGTAGTTATTCACACGGTTAAGACTTAATTCGAGAGCATTAAATCGATGCGTCTTAAACGTACGAACAAAAGTCTAGATAGTATCGAAGTATCAATTAAGATACAAATTAATAGAGATGAGTAGACATCTCATATATGTCTACAATATACGTATGCTTAATTTATACCGGGATCCTTAAATCAATTTTTGATTGATTTACATGGCGATCGCGTTTGCGACGCGACGCGTCGGCATCTTAAGCTAACAATTGTCAATATAAAATCGTTCGCGGCACGAAAACAAGTAATATGTAACGTGTGTATAAAATAGTAACGTGTCGCTTTTCATACGGCCAGCGACGTACGTGTACATTTTGCACATTCGACTTGCTCAAGTCGAGTCGAAGCCCATACATTCATGAGCGAAAGAGATCATTTAGTTCTTTCACATCTTTCTTTTTAAAAAGGGGAGTTAATTATTTTCACAAGTTTCCAGAGTTGTTAAAAGTTGGAAAAAAATAACATAACAAAGACTAACAAGTTTAAAATGACAGATTCAATAACAGTAAATGCGAAAAATAAAATCAATTAAATCAAATAGAATCAATCAATAATTCAAGTAAAAATTTATACCAAAATTTCGAAGAGTATAAAAGATTTAGTTTATAAAATAAAAAATATAACAAAATGTATATTGATAAAAATTACATAGTAAGATCCAAAAGTTTTCGGTCTCATTTGTACTATGTATTGGCACATGTCAATCAACATATATAATCAGTCATATAATCACTATTATTCCAATATCATTCGAATACAACGAATTTGAAAATTATTTATACTTTATATTTTCTAGTATAATATAATTATAATAAAAATATATTTATTTATTATAATATACATTCTATCATATAATATTATTATATATAATAATAATATTATTATATAATAAAATTATATGCTATAATCTTATAAAATTATAACATATATAGAATATTTAATGATAGTATATTATTAAAGTTATATATATTTCAATAATCTTCACGAAAAGATATAACTTTGATAATTCTATGTAGTTCAAGTTGAGTTTTTCACGATTAACTCGAAAACCTTTGCATCTTATTTATAATAACATTTTACTTTTTAACAATATTTATTACCATATTTTTTTATAGTTTAAAAATCTATAAAATGATTGCTGTAAGTCTTTAAAAATAACCTAGTATCTGTCAAACATGATTTCTGAAATGTGCTGAGTGTATGTCTCATTAGATGTGAAAGAATTGAAACCTTAATTATGAAATAATAATTATTAATAAAACATTCAGTATAAAAACCTAACGAACATATGTATTAAGATATGTTACAAAGCATTTCTCTGTCAAAGTATAGGCTTCGACTGTAACATTATACTAGGATTATACGATCAGAGTCCACATTGAAGCAACAAAACGTTTCTTCTTCGAACTACTTGAAAATCTGAAAATCCAGTGTCTTCTGATCCTCTTGATTCATCATCGTTCTCGCTAAAAAATAATTAACATGTTGCTACTTGTACCTCTCGATGAGCATTTTTGGCAAGCCTATCGTCGACTAAACTGAACGAGAATCTTCATTTCACGCGATGCGAGCAAATTCGTCCATTTAGCAATCAGCTTTAGCGTCGTTATTAGCAACGATGTTGTTGCGTCATCATTATTCTGGATGTTCAGTCCTTGTATATTTATGTACGAACATTTCTCGTCCGTTCAGGTTCATGTGTTACTGTTATCGTGAACATGTGCATGTCCATGCGTAGAATTGGCAAGGGGTGAATGTGGCATATGCGGAGGCGACGAGGGTAGCTCGATAAGCGTCACGTCGTATCCGCCAGTGGTAGGAGGATCACCCGGATCTCCGGGATCACCCGGCGAGCCCGGGTTGTTCGGGTTGCGTTCGCTGTCTGGACTGATTCGCGAGTGGCTCACCTCCAGCAGGAATAGATCCTCGTCGACGTAATATCGGATCATGTCGTCGTCAATTTTCGCTGTAATTCTGCAACAGGGTAGAATGACGTTCTCATTAAATTTCTTCGGCGCGACTTACGAGCGGAAGCGGAACGATCTCGTTCCGAAGAAAACGATTATCCGAGCGAGTTGGCATGCAACGCGGCATGTAACGCGGCTTCAGCCACTGTAATATTGTGATTTTTGACAAAGGAATTGCATACAATTTTTGTTGCGTGTTACGATTAAAAAGATACTTTGATATTATTGTGACGAGTGTCAAATTTTTTAAGTAGGCACGCGAAAAACAAAAATTTTCTATT